GGGGGCGACTCACGGACCCGCACCGCCACCGCCAGCGGGGACAACCGGGCGCAGCGCTGGCGGTGCTGTCACCCTGCGCTGGGGACACGGGGGGGGGACAGCTGTCACCCGGCACGGCACGGTCCCTGCAATGGGGACACCCCGGCATGGCGCTGTGTCCCCCAACAGGGACACCCAGTACAGCACTGGCACCCCATTTGGCACTGTCCCCTGCAGAGGGGACACTGGTGCCCCTGTCACCCAGCATGACAGCATTCCCTGCACTGGGGACACGGGGGGGGGACACCTGTCACCCAGCACGGCACGGTCCCTGCAGTGGGGACACCCCGGCATCGCGCTGTGTCCCCCACCGGGGACACCCAGGTACAGCACTGACACCCCTGTCACCCAGCATGACACCATTCCCCTGCGCTGGGGACACTGGGGACACGGGGGGGACACCTGTCACCCGGCACGGCACGGTCCCTGCAATGGGGACACCTCAGCATGGCACTGTGTCCCCCATTGGGGACACCCAGGAACAGTACTGGCACCCCACTTGGCACTGTCCCCTGCAGTGGGGACATCCAGGAACAGCACTGGCACCCCTGTCACCCATCATGACACTGTTCCCTGCACTGGGGACACGGGGGGGACACCTGTCACCCAGTACAGCACGATCCCTGCAATGGGGACACCTCAGCATGGCACTGTGTCCCCCATTGGGGACACCCAGGAACAGTACTGGCACCCCACTTGGCACTGTCCCCTGCAGTGGGGACATCCAGGAACAGCACTGGCACCCCTGTCACCCATCATGACACTGTTCCCTGCACTGGGGACACTGGGGGACACCTGTCACCCAACACAGCATGGCACTGTCCCAAGCACCAGCATCACACAGGTACCCCTTGTCACCCAACGCAGCACGGTCCCTGCACTGGGGACACCCCAGCATGGCACTGTCCCCCACACTGGGGACACCCAGGAACAGCACTGTCCCCCTGCATGGCACTGTCCCCTGCACCAGCGTCACACAGGTACCCCTTGTCACCCAACGCAGCACGGTCCCTGCACTGGGGACACCCCAGCATGGCACTGTCCCCTGCACTGGGGACACTTGGGCACAACACTGGCACCCCTGGGGACACCAGTGCATCTGTGTCACCCAGCACAGCGTGGTCCCTGCACCGGGGACACCTGGGAGCAACACCGGCAGCCTTGGCACCCAGCATGGCACTGTCCCCTGCGCTGGGGACACTGGGGGACAACTGTCACCCTGCCCCAGCACAGTCCTTGCACTGGGGACACCCCAGCATGGCACTGTCCCTCGCACTGGGGACACGTGGGCACACCATTGGCACCCCTGTCACCTTGCGTGGCACTGTCCCCTGCAGCGGGGACACCCCAGCATGGCACAGTCCTCTGCAGTGGCACAGTGTCACAGTGTCACCACGGGCCACCCCACACCAGGGGTACCTACGCCTGGCACAGCCCCTGGCACACACCGCACCGTGTGGCACAGCCGGACCCCTGCCCAACGGGCACTGCTCAGCCCCCTCTGCACCTCCCCCACTTTCCCCCCCCCCC